TTAGTTGTTTTTTGCTAATCTTCTCCTCTTTCATTAAATAAATCTTTGCGAGTACTTTAGCATTCGTGCATTCTAGGGGTATGACCTTACCCTCCGTACGGGTATGTTAAAGGCGTTGCTCCTGTCGCCTTGATAGTCAGCGCCTTGACTGGAAAACTTAACGCGCACAAAAGTGTGGATAGTTATTTTGTGAAATGGTCAAGGCTTGGGTTGACTTAACAGCTTCATGAGACCCTTTATGAAGGTGAAAATTACCTAGTTTGTGGTCAATCATTCAGCAGTTTATCTTTGTATGGAGCCGTGTGTTTGGCTTGTTAAAAATGCAACGGTAATTGGATTTGATTTGGAGTTAATTAACCACAATGGATAACATTTCATTGGCATGAGGCACAACTCCTTTTCTTGCGTTCATGTTGGCTGTCTAAGTCTGCACTGCAGATGTCGCCCGCTTTCCAGAGTCAGTGTCGCAGTCCACTGACCTCACACAGTTTAAGGTGGCTAAGACATCCGTGGGAATCTTTCAACTCAGGCAGGAGTGTGCGCACTTTGGATTAGAATCCAGCATCCTAATCACATTTACGGACATGGAGTTCATCTTGCCAAAACAATGGTTTTCTCACAGTTTTGCAGCACCTCAAGTTCCTCGCGAATTAGCAGTAGGTCTCATAGCAATTATGGTAGGTGTGTTGATATCGCATGAAGGGGCTAGCGAGGCTGTGGGTGTGGTCAAAAGGCGGAAGAACAAACAACAAAGATCTAACGATCTCCGTGTAGTAAACTATTTCATCAAAACACGAGTCGTCGTGACACAAATTTTAGGAACCTTCACCTGAAGGGCGATTGTTGGGCCAGTTTGAAGGCAGCAGTTTCTTCGTGTTTACGTCACACATCACATGATAATTAAATTCGCTCGTCACAGTGTCGTGTGACGATTCACCTATGCACCATGGAGGCGTTCGCTTCAAACTTTTTGTACGGCTTGATAACAGTTGAGTGGGCGTTTTTAACCGAAGATGACGTTCAATGCCGAATGGACAAACTATTTTGTTGATAAGTCAACAGATTTGGTGTCCACTCAAAATAAGCCGAGTTTAGAAAATCTAGAAAAGTATCAGCAAGTTGGTAATATGCAACTCTGATTGGTTAGTTTTCCGTTAGTTTCCCAGTCACCCACCGCAAGGCGGGTAGGGCAAGTGTGCTACTGCTTATGGGAGCCGCAACTTACCCCTTCAGTGGGGACACATGATAACCATCCACCTGACAGCTAGCCGCATCGTCGGTAACTTAAATGACGGTCCAAAAAGAGAAAATGAAAGAGTAAACACTAATAGTGGCGCCGACCGCTGTTTGTTACCGTACTCCCAGAGTCACAAAACAAAGCGATTTAGTATAAAACGTTAAAATGGGCGTTGAATGCGCTAGACCGCTGTTAAACCAATCGAAACTCTTATGACATTCTGAAAGGGTATGTATAGCAACCCGAGACTTTCCACTAGGTAGAAGAAGGCATTAAGTTTGGCTGGAGGTCTTGGAGGCCACGACAAATACCAAAGTTGCCACCAGACTTCAAGGAGTCACATAACCAAAGCAATACAGCAGGTGCTGTGGACGTAAAGAAGGGTTGGAGGGCTGCTGACAAGACTCGAATCGAGCTTTCGTGAAATACCATGTGGACGAGATGAACTAGTCGAATTGTTTCCGTTGCCAACAGACTAAACTTATTACGTCTGATGAGGCGTAAACAAAAGTCAATCTTAGATCCTATTTTCCAACTATTTGCACGTGATTAATGACCGTGTGAGATGATCGTTGGGACGAAAGCGTCGTAAACCACTTTGATCTCAATCTAAATGCTCAGTAATTTGAAGTTTTGTTATGTCAAAATTAAGGGTGTTTTTGTTTTATTCCTGCACTTGACGATTTCATTGTGTTTGGTGTTCGGTAAGATTGACGTTGGAATTTGATATTACTTGAGTTTTGAGGAAAAGTCTTTGTGAGGCGGTAATAACAAAGATCTGGTGAAAAACTGCTTCCACCTAAGACTCCATTCTTGGAAGTCATCGAACATACAGACGTACCTCCAAACACCACTCTATTGGGGGATAAAAGCTCACAAATTTCTCAATTCGCTTTAGAACTGCAACTCAGTCAGTAAAATAGGAAACTGTCTAAAGCACCCTTCGGAAAGCTAGAAATGTGATGAATGGAGGATGGTAACAGGGGCACACTATGAGAGCCCGATCCTCAAAATGTTTTGACAACTTCAAGCATTGCGCGT